TTTTTTGGTACTGGGGATCGAATTCGGGACCTTGCACTTGTGAGGCAGGTGGCGGAACCACTGAGCTAAATCCCTGAGCCCCCCGCCCCCCCATACATTTTGAGGCTAAGTTACCCAGGCTGGGCTGGAAGTTTAATCTTCCTGCCTCAGCCTCCTACAGTGCTGGGATCACAGGCGTGTGGCACCACATCCTACTCTGTTCAGCTTTGAGTCTTAAAGAAATGTGTCATTGCAAAGCCACATTTTCAAGGCATACCCATTGGAAGTGCCCTGGCCTGGAGAACTTGGGCATCTTCTGATTCGAGAGCCATTTTGGGGCAGCCTGATGGCAACAGAGCTGGCTTGGGAGGAAGAAGGCCTAAGCTGGGACCAGACTGCCTCAGCTTCCCGGCTGATCAGAGGACGCCTGTCCTGGGCCTGCCTCCTGCACCTAAGAAATATGAGGTGGATACCACATGCCGGCACTCTTATGCAGACCCTATGAGAGGGGCTGGAGACTCCGGTGTTCAGCTGTGGGTGACTGCTCACTTGTGCAGCAGTCAAGGGGCAGGTGCCGTGCCCTCCCTGTGAAGCTGACGGAGAGGACATTGGAGAAAGTCCAGTGTCACCAGTGGTCACAAACCAGGAGGAAAAATTCCCTGGAACAACAATTGCACCCAGGGCTGGGTGGCAGCTTGTTCTCTAAAATCATGTCACTGGTATTGTCCCTAGTTAGGGGAAAGTCTTAGGTTTCCATGCCAGACGAGTCTGAATGGTTCATTAAGAAAGTTTGTCGCATTCTCCATTCCTGTGTCATTTCGTTTGCATTTCTCCCTCTTGAGGTGGACTCCGGATCTTTTCCATTGTCTTTTGAGGATGGCCACTTTCAGAGCTGGGTCCTTTTCTCCTCTTCTTCAGCTCACTCTCCTCCCATGTCCTGTTGGTAAGCAGGAAGGAGAGGCTTGCTTTCGGTGGCAGGTGGATTGGGATGGGACATGGCTCATGTACTTGCCTGCCCCTCCAGTCAGCAGAAAGCCTTATCTTCCTGGAGCAGTGCAGACTGTGCCATCCCCAGTGAGGACATTTTGGAAAGAGCAAGTGGGAATACTTGACTGTCACTTTCAACGTTAGCGAGGGTGGTTTTTTTTTTTTTTTTTTTTGATACCGGGGATCAAACTCGGTCCTTGAGCTTGCGCAGCAAGTGGTGAAACTACTGAGCTAAATCCCTAGCCCATTGAGGCTGTTTCTGTTGCTGTTTGCAAGGAATTCTGGAGTAAAGAAGTGAGTAGGAGCTGGGTGTGGTGGCACACGCCTGTGATCCCAGCACTCAGGGAGGCTGAGGCAGGAGGACTGCTGTGAGTTCAAGGCCACCCTGGGCTGCACAGTGGGACTCTCTAAATAAATAAATAAAAATGAATAAATACAATTAACTAAATAAATGGAGAAAGAAAGAAAAAAATAAAAAATACCTTCACAGATGGAACCATGGCAATATACCAGGCAGCAAATCTTGGGCTAACTTCTACATCTTTTCACTAAAGAAAAAATTTATTAAAGAAAAAATATATATGAAATTTCAGAACTCTGGAAGGCTGAGGCAGGAGGATCATAAGTTCCAGCCCAGCCAGGGCAACTTAGCAAATTAGTGAGACCCTATCTCAAAATAAAAAACAAACAAAGGCCCTGGATTCAATTCCCATAACATACACACACACAAAAGGAACACATTAGGAACTGTAATGGGTATTCTTTTTTTTTTTGGTACGGGGGATCGAACTCAGGACCTTGCGCTTTTGAGGCAGGAGGCGGAACCACTGAGCTAAATCCCTGGCCCATGTAATGGGTATTCTTATTTTCCACTCAACACTCAGCTGTGTGTTGGCCCTTACCCAGTGGAAATTTTCCAGTAATACAGAGAGGAAGCAGAAAGCGAGGCCTTGCCCATTGTTCAGGCAATGTGTGACATTCTAGACTTAACCTGCACGTGTGACATTTCTAGGTTTCTGACAAACATGGAGAATACCCTACACAGCGGTGACGCTCGGTACCAGCACGGTGGGGCCCTTCCCCAGTCCCTGTCACCCCGCAGGTCCCCGGAAGACCCCACATTGACCACAGATGGCTGGAACAATCTCCTGCCACTTCCCCCAGGCAAGGCCTGAGTTATTTCCAGTTTTCCCACACAAACACTGTCCTGGTCACTCCTACATGAGCGTGCGGGAGTGACTGGGGACAGTGGGGCTGTGAGGAGTGCCAGGGCAAATTAAAACATTGCCACCTTACTGGAAAATGTCCTCTTGTCATCTGAGTGCTAACTGGTGCCCACACTCTTCCTGAAGGCCCAGGGAACACACACCCCAACCCCTGGCTTCGCCTGTCTGGTGATGTCACCGCTGGACCAAGGGAGCCAGGGGATGGCTACTGTGACATCACAGAGCAGGCCTTGGGGGACAGTCTGCACTCCTCATGGCTGTCGGCCTGTGGGAGGGGGCAGCACAGTGTCTCTCAGCTGGGGCAGCCATGGGGAGAGGTTAGGGGTCATTTTAAAAATGAGAACATGATCCCAGGGTTTTAGACTGGGGAAATGACAGTAAGAGCACTAGGTCACACGAAGCGTCCCTCTGCCATGTACTCATTCGTGCAGCAGACACTTGGCTTCCTTTACGTACTGCTCGTTGTTCCTAGCACAGAACACACAGGGAGTGACACACGGTCCCCGATCTGTGGGACTTCCCATGGCAGGGGAGGGAGGGGCGGTAAATACCAGTTAGGACCCAGAGCGTGTTACCTGGGGCAGGCACCCGGCATGCACTGCAGAGACTGCCAAGGCGCAGAGCAGCCTTGGGCCCCGAGTGGCCCAGGGCAGTGCCTGTGTCCTCCGCCGAGACTCAGTCCTCCTCTGCAGCCACACATCCCTTCTCTCCGCCCAAGATTCTCCTGCACCTGCTGCCCCCTAAGCCTCCCAACCAGAGGTCACTTCATCAGTGGCAGCTCCATGTCCTCAGAGTGGCCTCCCCAGCCCTGGTGGTACCAGGCCCCACTGGCCCTTCTGTCCCCTCCTGGAGTAGCAGTCACACCCGCCAGAGTCAGACACACAGTCACATGCCCAGTGATGTGGGAACGGAAGTAGAGTGTGTACTTGAGGGTCAGGGTGGCCTAACAGGGGCCTCTACCCCTGTGCCTCTGGTGGGATGAGGCTGTTCAGGGCGCCCTGGAAACCACATATGGTCCCCACATAGCAACATGGGGCGGGGCCGGTGGCTCCCTCCCCATCGGGGACATGTGCACAGACGGGCGAGGCTGGCACCCACGGCAGTGCCCGCTTCACCCCACTCTTCCTCTGCCTCCTGCTGTGTGGACAGCCAGTATGGCCAAGCTGCCAGCAGGCCCAGGCCAGCCCTTGTGTACCTTTGTTCCACTACTGTGAACAGTTGAATTAGAAAAAGATAGCTGCTGCAGGCACAAGCATCCCTAAGGGTGTGGGACTTGGCTTCGCAAGCTAACCACAGGCTGCATTTCAGTCCCTACTGAATCCCCTTCCTGGGAGTTTTGGGCAGTGCACAACTGTATAACTGTCCTAAGCAGCCCTCATCCTGGTCTATGGGGCAACTCTGAGGATAAAAATCACTTGAAGGCAGAGCTGAAAGACAGAAGCAGCCTGGGTCCTAGATAAGGGGTCCCCCATACCGTTCCTGGGTGGCCTTCCTCCTCTCTTTGCTTTTTTTTTAATCATTTATTTGGAAATGACTTCCAAGTTTCAGAACAGTTTCATAAGCCATACAGACAATTCCCCTCCATCCAGGCTGGCCATTTAGTGCCATTCTCGGGCACCTGTTCTGCCATCCTCTCCTCTCCCTCCCATTGGGAAACGTCATCCATCCCTCCTCTGCTGTCCAGCCCATATAATGACCTCTGCTTTGGAAGGAAAATGTGAAACTGCTCTTCACATTATTTATTTTGCTGTTCTATTCTAAGTTGCAAAATTAAATTATTATTATTATTATTATTATTATTTTTGGAGACAGGGTCTCACTACGTAGGTCAGGCTGTTCTTGAACTCACTATGTAGGTCAGGCTGTTCTTGAACTCACTATGTAGCTCAGATTGGCCTCGAACTTGCAGCAATCCTCCTGCCTCAGCCTCCCGAGTGCTGGGATTACAGATGTGTGCCACCACACACAGCTCTTTTGAAATTTTAACTGCTACCCTCTAAAACGCTCTGCCTGGTGACATTCAGAACACCATGCGAGCCTAGTAGGAAACCCAGCAGTGCGACCAGGCCCGCCCCATGCACACTTCACCTACAGAGTCACACTGGCTATGACACGGAGGCCCCCATGTGCCAAGGCTGCAGCGCCCCTTGAGTGCCCATACATGGACAGGAAGTGCGGCCCTGGCCATGCTCTGTGAGGTCCTGGCCACTCTGACCTCACAATGTCCTGCGTCTATAAGAGGCCCAGGGCTCGGCCCTGCCTCACAGCCCACGAAGTTCCACCTCCTCACAGGTTGGCTGGCTCAGCTGAGGTGGTGCCCCTGCTCTGAGCCATGTGCGGGCCAAGTTCACCTCGAGCCATGGCCAGATACAGATGTTGCCGCAGCCCAAGCCAGAGCAGAGGCTACCGTAGACGCAGCCACAGACCAAGGAGGCGATGCCATCCCAGACGGAGACAAAGTAAGAGGCCGGCCTGGGCTGGGGCTGGGCTCCGCGGGGCCGTGACGCCCTCTCAACATCTTTTGTGCTCTTAGGGTGCGGCCGCCTTGGGTACACCCGGAGGGGCAGAAGACGCTAACTGCAGAAGAGCAAGGCCTCCGAACTCCTGCTGAAGACTTTGCCAGACCTCAAGACCGTCTTGCCACCTCTGACAATGCCACCTTGCACTGAAACAGGAGCCTGCTAAGGAACAATGCCGCCTGTCAATAAATGTCAAACTCATCCCACTCATGCCTTTGTCCTTGATGGCTCGGGAGAGGGCTGGCCTGGAGGCGGAAGGGCTTGGTGATGTGGCACAGTGGCACAGAAAGGATGCTGGGAAGGGGGCCATGAGAGTGACGGCTGTCACAGGGATCCTGTCCAAAACTCAGTGACACGACATGAGGAACATCTGCTCCCAAACTGCCTACCTGTCCGACCCCTGGAGCTGGGTCATCACCTTTGAGGGCCACTGTCCTTCCACCCTGTTCTGTGGCTGGCAGCTGGCAGCTGGCAATGAGCCACAGGGGAAGATGCTCTAAGCATCAGAGGGCCATCAGGGCTTCCTTACCCCAAGGGTATCTGGGGGTCCTCAGAGCCGGTTAAACAGCTGCCAGTCCCCAAAGTGTCACACAAGTTCAATTCAAAGCTGAAATCTCAACAGTTCCTTTGGTTATACAGGGAACAAGACAGTCACCATTAGAATCATGAATTCAAGGTTTTCCTTCATTCAGCAGCCCTCATTTGTGTCCCCATTGGAGAGCAGTGGTAACTTGGCCAGGCAGCAGGGGAGCTGCCCTGCCCATTCAGTCCTCAAGTGCCTGCAGGAGGTTAAGCATTGTGCCCATGACACAAACTCATCAGAGCTGCCCGAACCAACTCCCTTCCCGCAGGACGCTGCACACCACGGAAGCAGATGCAAGAAATCCTACTAGGACTCCGGTCTAACGGGCCCAGTCCTGGCCTAGGAAGGCCCACGCTCAGGCTCAACACAAACCCTGTGTCACGGTCACTTCCCGGCACTGGAGCAAGCCAGGGGTCTCATCAGTGATCCCCCAGCGCCACAGGACCAGTTCCTAAAAGGGATCAGGCCCAGCAACACCTGGGAACTCTGGCTTCTGCTCACGGGGAGAGCACCAGGCCCTCGGTCCTCCCCAGCCCCTCGAGGCAGGTGTCAGCACGCTGTGTCCCCAGGTGAGCGCCGGCCCCCACGGAGCCCTGAGCTAAACCTGGCTTCGCTTGGACTCTTGGGACCCCACACACTCCAGCAAGGCAAGGAGGAGGAAGACAGCAGGCCAGGGGACAGGCAGCCCCCCCAGGTGGACTTTTTGGGGATTTGCTTTTCTTGTATTTTGACCATATCGCTAGATACGGAGATGTGAACCTAGCTGAGCATTCATATTTTTACCAATTGCCTGAGGGGAGACTGAGCCCCTTATAAAGTTTCTTTGTCCTGAAAGGGAGCAGCATTTAAATTCAGGAAAGGCAGGGTCACCCTTCACTCCTGCGAGGCCCCAGGACTAAGCCTGCTTCCTCTCCTGTGGCCACTTTGACAAATCACCACACACTCCGAAGCTTATACCAACACGAGCTTATGACACAGTTCTGCAGGTCAGAAGTCCAAGTGGGTCTAATGGGGCCACAATCAAGGTGTCTCGGGGCTCTGGGGCAGAACCTGTTGTCTGGCCTCTCCAGCATCTAGAGTGCCATCCTCAAGGCCAGCGGCACAGCCTCTGCACACCTCTCCCTGCCTTCCCCCTCTCTCCAAAGGACTCTGTGATCGCACGGGATCCCCCAAGTGATGAGGCCCGCTCCCCATCTGCAGACCCTCAGTCACACCTGCGCACCCGTTCGGTTCATGCATTAGCATGGGGATGCCTTTAGGGGAGGGCACTGCTCTGTCACCATGTCCCCCTTTCCTCCCCAAGAGACAGCAGGACCACATCCCCTCTGTCCTCCACGAGAGGGAAACTAGGGCTTCAGCTGCCATGACTCTGCTTCTGGTCTTCGGTGGATCATCAAGCACAAGGGGACAAATGCTACACAATGTGCCCAGGCATGAAGACATCCCCCAACACTGAGATCACGTAAAATTCTAGAGTCGACCATGACACAACACCAAGGAAGTGGGGAAGCTTCTAGCATGACCACCTATGAATTCCCACCACTCGGTAGGAGGAGGATGGGGTGTAGACAAAAAGCAGCTTCTTCCTCACGACTGGGGATGCATTTCATGGGCACGGCCAGGGCCTCTGTGCCAGGACTGCAGCCCCTGGCTTGTGCTGCCCTCACAGAGGGTACTGGGTAGAGTGGGGATAATCGTGGGATGGGCTGCCGGGTCTTAGTGAGGGCCCCCTTTATATACAAGCCCCGAGCGCCCAGCAACCAGACCAACCAACAGCAAGAGCAGGTGGGCAAGCTGTGGCCCTTCTCCCCAGGTCAGCTGCAGCCTCAGCCTGGAGCCGCCCCTCTCCCCAGCTCCTGGAACAACGGTCCAGTGCCACATCAGGAGGCCCAGGGAGCGCCCCGCTCCAGGCGCACAGCCCGGAGTCTGGTGAGGGCCAGGAGCAGGAGCGGGGGCTGAGCCCAGAGCACGCGGAGGCCTACAGGAGGACATACAGAGGCCGCCACTACAGGCATAGGTGCTGTTCTCGGAGGAGGCTATGCCGGATCCACAGAAGGTGGCACCCATCCTGCCGAAGGCGCAGGAGATGCATCTGTAGGAGGCGACGTCGCCAAGGTCTGCCCCAACCCTGCCCCACCAACCCCAGGCCCTTTGCACCTATGCTGAATGAAGCACAGCTGGGAGGGAGGCTGGGATCCCATTGTCTGACCCTAAACCCCATCCCCACCCAGATCCCCCAAAGGGCTCCCAATCAACTATTCCTCCCAAAAGGTTGCAGAAGAAGGAGAAGATGCAGGAGGTACCACTAAACCTTCCCAGGCCCTGCCGGAAGCTATGGAAAAGTCACCTGCCCAAGGAACAGGAGGCAAGGCCATAACACCCCTCCCATGTTGATACCTCAACCCTGAGTTGCCAAGGAGCCCACAAGATCTGAGCGATGAGCACAGTCACCTGCCAAATAAAGCTTGACAAAGAACTCACTGGCTGCCCGTCTCCTCTGTGGGGGCAGACATAGCCCTTTCTGGGTCTAGGAGGACGGGTTCCCAGGCAGCAGCTCATGGTGCTGTCCTGCCCTGTCACCTGTCCCTTCACCGCGCCCATGGCCACATTATTCAACCTGAGGATGTCATGCTTACCTGCCCACCCGCCCCCTGAAAGGGGAAAAGTCCCCTTTATCTCTGCCCGACTGCGTGGCACAGTATAAAAGTTACTGAAAATAACGGCAGCCCCAGGGTGTAGTCTGCGATCCTCAAGGTCAGCTGGGAAAGGGAAGGAGTGAGGGCTGGGTGAGGCCAAGACAGGTTCGGGGAGGATCCCCTCTGTCTGGTGGTGGCTGTCTTCCCACTGACACCTGCCAGAGGGACACCTGCAGCAACACCTGATCTAAATGGATGTCTAGCACTCCTTCTTCCCAGACCATCCTGTGTGAAATCGTGGTGCAGACACAAGCAGCACTGCTGAGGGGCATCCAAGACACCTTAAGATGCATCCCCCAATACTTAGGAGCTGCTGCCTTTCCTGTCAAGATGTTGGAGGACCACACTGTCAGGAGTGCTGGGGATAGCCAGGGTGTCGTGCATACTAAGCACACACTCTACCACGCAGCTGCACCCTAGTCCTGCAAGGATGCTTTTGTTATGCATGGCACAAGGGAAGGTGTAGGCACCCCAAGAAACCCACTACTCCTGGCCCTGCCAGAAGGCTCCCTCGTGCCCCTGCCCTATGCCAATCACTATTCTGACCTCCCCTCTACAAACTGTCAATGGCTCTCTTTTGGGCATTTCTGGGACATTCTACCCCCAAGTCTCATTCCAGCAAACAGGAGGACTTCCCCTGGACAGATGAGGCTGATGCCCCCTCCCCGTGACCAAGGTCGGCCAAGGTCGGCTGAAGGGCCACTGAGGGGCGTGGGCCCCAGGAGCCCTTTGTGATGTCGGCACCCCATGCCCCGCCCTCGGAGCCCTCTGCTCCTCTCAGCCCACCTCCCCTCCTAGTCTGGAGAGAGCTGAGGAGAGCAATGGGTTCCAGCTGCACCAAGCTCAGCAGGGGCCACGGCATGGGCCACAGCAGGGGCCACGAACCTACCATGAAGAAGCTGCTGGCCTGTGTGAGTCAGGATAACTTCTCCCTGTCATCAGAGGAGGAGGAGGAGGAG